TTGGACCCCCTTTTGCCTTCAGAACTGCCTCAATTCTTCGTGGCATAGATTCAACAAGGTGCTGGAAGCATTCCTCAGGGAGTTTGGTCCATATTGACATGATGGCATCACACAGTTGCCGCAGATTTGTCGGCTGCACATCCATGATGCGAATCTCCCGTTCCACCACATCCCAAAGATGCTCTATTGGGTTGAGATCTGGTGACTGTGGAGGCCATTTTAGTACAGTGAACTCATTGTCATGTTCAAGAAACCAATTTGAAATGATTAGAGCTTTGTGACATGGTGGAAGTAGCCATCAGAGGATGGGTACATGGTGGCCATAAAGGGATGGACATGGTCAGAAACAATGCTCAGGTAGGCCGTGGCATTTAAACGATGCCCAATTGGCACTAAGGGGCCTAAAGTGTGCCAGGAAAACATCCCCCACACCATTACACCACCACCACCAGCCTGCACAGTGGTAACAAGGCATGATGGTTCCATGTTCTCATTCTGTTTACGCCAAATTCTGACTCTAACATCTGAATGTCTCAACAGAAATCGAGACTCATCAGACCAGGCAACATTTTTCCAGTCTTCAACTGTTCAATTTTGGTGAGCTCTTGCAAATTGTAGCCTCTTTTTCCTATTTGTAGTGGAGATGAGTGGTACCCGGTGGAGTCTTCTGCTGTTGTAGCCCATCCGCCTCAAGGTTGTGCGTGTTGTGGCTTCACAAATGCTTTGCTGCATACCTCGGTTGTAACGAGTGGTTATTTCAGTCACTGTTGCCCTTCTATCAGCTCGAACCAGTCTGGCCATTCTCCTCTGACCTCTGGCATCAACAAGGCATTTCCGCCCACAGAACTGCCGCTCACTGGATGTTTTTTCTTTTTCGGACCATTCTCTGTAAACCCTAGAGATGGTTGTGCGTGAAAATCCCAGTAGATTAGCAGTTTCTGAAATACTCAGACCAGCCCTTCTGGCACCAACAATCATGCCACGTTCAAAGTCACTCAAATCAACTTTCTTCCCCATACTGATGCTCGGTTTGAACTGCAGGAGATTGTCTTGACCATGTCTACATGCCTAAAGGCACTGAGTTGCCGCCATGTGATTGGCTGCTTAGAAATTAAGTGTTAACGAGCAGTTGGACAGGTGTACCTAATAAAGTGGCCGGTGAGTGTATGTACTCAATTTCACAAATTTGTGGAACTTTTACTAAGCCAGCTATATAGTTTTTAAAGTCTTTTTTTAGGCTATACTTGTCAGGGCCAAAATATAATGACAACAACCGACTAGTGAGGACATTTTACTGATCCTCACCACTAGTTAAAAAGGCTTATAAATCGTTCAAAACATGTTTTTATTTAAATTTAGTGTTTTGCACATGTTTCTTGAGGGATATGTTTAGCGGTAGAGGTTGTGTTAGGCCATAGAAAATATCCGTAACCTGATAAAAAAATCAATGGAAGTCTATGCAATGTCCTCACTAATATAGTGAAACAAAGATGTGTGTGTGTGTGGCCTGGTAAACCCTACATTATGGGGACATGTTTTGGTCCCCATGAGGAAAACAGCTTATAAATAATTCTGTTATGTTTAAAAAAAAATAAAAAATCTAAAAGTGCAAAGAAGATTTATAGGTTTAGGGGTGGTGGAGTTGGTGTATAAGGGGAGAGAATATACAGTTTGTACAGTATAAAAATCATTATGTCAATGGAAAGTACCCATTAAACAAGAAAACACAACATGTGTGTGTGTGTGTGTGTACACTCAGGCTCTATCCTGGACTCAGTGGTGAGTGAGTTGAACCCTGAGAAGGTCCTAGAGTTGGGCACATACTGTGGATACTCTACAGTGCGCATCGCTCGTCTGCTTCCTCCTGGAGCTCGTCTGATAACACTGGAGTTCAATGCAGATTATGCTGCAATTGCTCGACAAGTAATCGCCTGGGCGGGTCTTGAAGACAGAGTAAGGGCCCTGTTCCTTCACAAACACTTAATTTACACACAGTAGTCCTTATTTACTCTCTACTCTCTGCAAACATTATGTTTGTAGCCTATATATTTCAAATTAAAGGAGTCATTTCCTGTTTATTATGCCTTGAATCAATGTTTTACTTCATCAGGTCCAGCTTGTAGAAGGTGCGTCTGAAGATTGGATCCCGCGCATGAAGGAGCACTTTGGAATTGAAACATTTGATTTCGTTTTTCTGGACCACTGGAAGGACCGTTACCTCCCTGACACAAAATTAATGGAGGTGTGTTTGATTCTGACCTCTGTAATTTCATTCAATCTCAGTTAGAGATTATGGTGTCTCTACAATGCAAAAATGTCGAAAAACTTCATGAATTCAGTTGCAATGTCAGTATTTTCCTCTCGATTTTACTGGAAGCATATATCCAACCTTTTCTGCACTTCTCTTTTTTTCTGTCTTCTTTATTTATAGGATTGTGGTCTACTAAGGAAAGGCACCGTTCTGCTTGCTGATAATGTGATCTGTCCGGGAGTCCCAGACTATCTTCAATATGTGCGCAATAGCCTTTCCTATAAAAGCTGCTATTTTAAATCCCATTTAGAGTATACCAAGGCAGAGGACGGCTTGGAAAAGTCTGTGTTTTTGGGCTAGAGATATACAGAAATGGTTCATATGCTTACCTTTTTTTTGCTCGACTTTTTATGCTAAGAGTTTCTCAGACCTAACATGAGGTGTATTTTGAATGATTTATTATCATAAGTCCTTACTTAAAATCTGTGAATCAGGGCACAGTTCTGCACATTTGTTCAAACAAGACCACTCTTGTACCACTAGAGGGTAGGATCACATTTAAAATGGCTTGTCTAGACCCCCTCTTACAGTGTAACCAGAAATTTTATCTTAAAAATATATACCAGTTACTTTGTATTTTTATTTTTACAGAAAATGTAACCTTTTTAGGTTATTTTACAGTTATTCTGTAATAATTGAAACAATGCCACTTTGTGTTCATGTCATTTAGAGTGTGTTTATTTTAGCTGTTTTTGCAGTATTGATAGTGGCTTATATGGATTGCAGTTTTATTTACGTTTTGGTGCATATTTTTGTATGCTTTAATGTTAATGTATCTTTAATGTATCTGTTTCTGGTAATAATGTTTTATTCATTTAATTTTTAAGGTGATATTTTAATTAGCTTTTTAATCTAAGCTACTGTCTTAATGTTAACTAAGTTATATAACACATTTTCATGACCTCACTATTGCTTGTGTGTGTGTGTGTGTGTAGCCTGGTAAACCCTACATTATGGGAACAAAATGTCCCCATAAAGATGCCAGTATCCGAATTCTTTTCGTTTTTTGTTCCTCATGAGGTAAACAGCCAGGGTAGGGTTAGTGTAAGGGGATAGAATAAAGTCTGTACATTATAAAAATAATCGAGTCTGTGAAAAGTCCCCATAAAACATGAAAACACAACCTGTGTGTGTGTGTGTGTGTGTGTGTGTGTGTGTGCGTGCGTGCGTGCGTGCGTGTGTGTGTGTGTGTGTGCGTGCATGCGTGCGTGTGTATGCTTTATTTACAGACATAACCAAATAACAAAAACCTGACCAGAGTAACAAAAAAGTTGTTACTTTTGCCTCAAAACACAAGACTATGAAGATATAACAGACACTTACATTCATTTATTATTCGGATCCATCCCTCTCACATTTTATAGTGTCATATTCCACAACTTAATTTAACAGTCATAAATCTGTAATAGCATTGAAAATTAACCACTACAGCCCAGCCACACATTTCAAAATAATACATCCACAAGCACACTTATAAATAAAAATATTATAGACACCTTAACCCTCTATGGCACGGTGTTGCCTCCAGAGCTTAAATGGAGATGCGGATGAAAATGGATATGAAAACTTGATATGATAACTTGATATGATGGTTTGGTAATACTTGTGTTCCACTATGGTACAATGTTGCCTGAGAGCAACAGCTGGAAATCAAATTAATTTTTTTATTAAATATGAAATTTGTAATACATTAAAAACTGGATAAATGTGTTTGTTCAAGTGTCTGGTTAAAGAAATTTATGTTTTCAATAAATAGCCTATATATATTTTTTCTAAGTGAAGATGTCAAATGTTTAAATTTGTCTGTTGTGGTACAATGTCGCCTTAGGCAACAAACTTAAAAAAATCAAAAAAATAAATAAATAATTAATTAAAAAGTTTATTGATATTGTTATAGTGTCCAATTTTTACACTCACAAATAAACACCACAAATATTTGTTTCTCTCATTGATATCTATCATATTGCGTACCATAGAGCTTACACAAATAAACATCACAAATATATGTTTCTCTCATTGATATCATATTGGGTACCATAGAGGGTTAAATGATCTGTGAACAGGGAATACTCGGTCCCTGGTTTGCTTTAAAATTTAACAGAGATGGTACGTTTATTTGAATAATTCATTCATAACATAAAGCCAAAGATATCCAGAGAAAAAAGTAACCAAAAGTGAAGAGTGCAGAGTCAATATGTTGGAGATGTGAAAAGCCATTAGCCCATATACAGTCATGTGTGTCAGAATAAAGTCCAACGACGGTATTATGGACCAGAGTAAGGCTATACACTACCATTTAAAAACACACGTGACATTGAGGTCAGATAGATTATCTGTCTTTATAAAAAGACAAAGAATAATTCTAAAATCTACTAAAATAAATAATATAAATCATTATGACGAGAGTAGTGTCTCGCACCAGATTGTTTCATAAAAGCAGACGGTCTAAACGCAGAAAACTATCCAGCAGTGTTCACATTAAAAATATATACCGGTCCATCCCTCTCAGAGACTTTTCAAAAGCATGCATGATGTGGTAATCCCAATCTGTGCCCATTAGAGAGAGAGAGAGAGAGAGAGAGAGAGAGAGAGAGAGAGAGAGAGAGAGAGAGAGAGAGAGAGAGAGAGAGAGAGAGAGAGAGAGAGAGAGAGAGAGAGAGAGCAAGGACGAGAGGGAGAGTGAGTGGGTAACAAAAGTGTGAGAGAGAGGGAGACAGAAAGCGAGAGAGTGAGCGAAAGAGACAGACAGAGTGAGGGGGCTTTTAAAGGATTTGACAGTGATTTGTAGAATCACAGTTGTGGAATGTTCGGTCTCTTCCAGCGTTTTATAGTTTCTTAAAGCTCTCAATACTTTCTACATTCAAATCTCACCTTAATCAAATGAATCTTTAGATTGTCGTTGTGTGAGAAGACTGTGGAGTGAGGACATTTTAAGATGAGAGCTGAAGACTCGGATGTTGGGGACATCTACTGTCGTGCTTCAAAACCATCCAACTTCAGCTCCAGATGGGCTCTCACTGGCAGCTGCATCAGTCGGTGAGACATTTTTAAGAAGCGAATAAATTAAAAATCGTTATGCCAAAAAATTGAATGTAAATTCCCTTAAAACGTTGTAAAATGTTGTAAAGATGTCTGTTCAGGTCTCGCGAAACATGGTTAAGAAGCAGTGCTGCTGTTGAACACTTAATCAAACGGGTGTGCGTGTGCGACGCGTGTGTCTGTCTCCCCGCGGGAACTTCAGCTTTCAATCCAAATTTAGCAATTTTTCCGCTCACCTGTTGCTGAACATGTATCAGTTAATTTGCATAAAATATTAATATGCTTGCCTATACATGCCCTCTATTCTCAGCGGCCTGTTGAGTGCGAAGACGAAAAAGTAAGTTAATTTTCCAGAAGACAGACTTTGGGTTGAAATAACCTAGAATAATTTTTGATTTGTAAAATAAAATTATTAATAACAAACTTAGGCTATACACAGGATGTAAAACTACATGTTGTACTTTTTTTAATGTAGGCCTACATCATTATGATATAAAGAACCAAGTTGGTTGGTAGACTTTTCATTCTTTGTTGAATAATCCTGGTGAAAGAAATAGAATGGGAAAAAATGGTAATTAAATATGAAAATACTGATTTTAACTAACTATTTTAAGTGAAAAAAAAGTCAATATTGTGGGTTTGGTTGGCACAGTGTCAAAAAAATGCAACCAAACACAATGCTGTGTGTGTATATATATATAGCATTATTATAATAGTTAATCAATTCTATTATATTTAATAGAAAAGTGGGGTTGGTTGGTACAGTGTTAACAGTAGGAAACAAACTTAAAAGATGCTACCAAACACAATGCTGTGTGTGTGTGTGTGTATATATATATATATATATATACAGTATATATACATTGCATTATTATTATTATAGTAAATTAATTCTATTATATTTAATAGAAAAGCTCTCAACCAGCTATAATATTGTTGTCTCTTGGTAATATCAATGAGTGTGGGTCAAGAGGTCAAACATTTACCTGCACCTTTAATGCACAATCACACAATCTATCTGCAAAGCAGTGCTGTCGAAAGGCATATTTGTGCATCATTTTCGTGTAAATCTTTTGTCTCATTTCTCCACAGGAGACACAGGTAGAGAAGAAAGCATTGTGCTGTAGCAGAAGAACCAGCCCCTTGCATGGCAGCAACTATGACATCACATCTACACGCATCATCACTATGCCATCACTACAAGATCAGCAGGGCACCCAGACAACACGTGGGCTCCCTGATTCACGTCATGTGGATAGTGATGATGGGATTTACTCCAGAATCCTCGGCCTCCTCCTCAGGAACTCATTCCATAAAGATCGAGGGTGACATCACTCTTGGAGGGCTTTTCCCGGTGCATTCCAGGGGCCCCGCTGGTGTTCCATGTGGGGAAATTAAGAAGGAGAAGGGGATCCATCGTATGGAGGCCATGTTGTATGCGCTGGACCAGATCAACAGTGACCCAGACCTGCTGCCTAACATCACCCTGGGTGCCAGGATACTGGACACGTGCTCCAGGGATACATATGCGCTAGAACAGTCCCTCACCTTTGTCCAGGCCCTCATCCAGAAAGACAACTCAGATGTTCGCTGTTCCAATGGAGAGCCTCCCATCATTCCAAAACCAGAACGAGTGGTAGGGGTCATCGGGGCTTCGGCCAGCTCAGTGTCCATAATGGTGGCCAATGTTCTTCGACTGTTTGCGGTGAGGGATCATTTTTAACTTCATTTGAATTAACTACATTTTAATGTTGATTCCCTCAGTCTCAGGCTCAGCAAATGCTTAATTTAAGGCAAGACATTACAGGTGAATAGTTCAAACAAATAGATATCGCCATACTTTCCCCAGTTTATTAATCACAGTACATTAAGACAATTGTTTTGTATTACAAGTTTCTGAAATTGTAGGTTGTTTAACAAGTTTGTTTGCCCATAAAATCTAAGATATTAGGTTAAAATTATTTGGCTTGCTGTCGACTGGAGAGGGGCTCGATGAAGCAGCTTCAACAGCTCTGATATACCTCCCCAGTGGCTAAATGTAGGACATGATATAATTAAAGGGGAAAGGTACCTAAGATGAAGGTGGAGTTTGGGGAGGTGGAGGGGTACTGGAACTGCTGATGCTAGGGAGAGGTAAGCGGCTGCTTATATACTCAGGCTGTTGATTGAAAGATTAGATTGGCTCACTCCTCCCTAACTTACGTTTAGGAACTTCATTTAAATATGCAAATAAATATGCATTCATTTTGTTGACATATTGGAGTTAAAGGATTTTTCAAGGAGGATTCTTTTTATATCAGTCCATAAATCAGAAAATACTGTCAGAAAACAGCCAGAAAAATATGTCACCATATTTTAAGAAATAAAATATTATGAAAGTAAATCAGGCAAAATTTATATGTACAAACCCTTCTCTAAAAGCTTTCGGAATATAGATATTTTACAACTGGAAAGTTTGGTGTAAGTGCTACTGAAGTGGAGATGTCTGATTCAGAGCATGAGAAAAAACACAATGGCTTTTAAAGATATGTATTGTAATTGCAATATAAAGATGCAAAGTGGGAACACATAAAAGTATATTATGGATGTTTTCTTTCCACTAGTCTGAAAGAAGACATGTTATGGAAGCAAAATAGTCAAAAGTGACCACAACCAGTGTCTGAAAAACAATGTTTTTGCCTGTGGTGCCATAAGATGTATGGCTCTTGTTTGGCTCTTTTTAATGTTGTATATGTGTGGCAGTCACTGGATTTCCTTCCTCTTGCATGGTGTTGCTGCAAGCCTGGATTCTGCAGCGCTGCAGATAGCGCAGGGCTACAGGAAGTATAACTAATTCTGTTAAAAGGTTTGGATTGTGTTTCAGCTCACTGGCCTCTCAGCAAGAGCTTCTTAAATGATATAGATTCTTTCTTTATTTTGTTGTAGAGTATCAGATTTTCCTTGAAGTGAGAAGTGTTTTTGAATTACGCACGTCATTGACCTGTGTCCTTAAATCATTGAGAACCACCACTTTGAAATGTGCTGCGTGCATGTCATTTAATTTCAAATCCTTTCTCATTTCTAGATCGTCATTCAGCTTGCAAATCCGACACCTGAACTACATTCAATTTCATTCCACCCTCTGCCACGTTTGATCTTTTTTATTTATTTATCGGTTTTAATCATTTGTGTTCTTTGTGGTCAGCGCTCAAAGCTGCGTGTGCTTTAGTACATGAGCTGATAACCTCGCCCAGAAGTTATTTGCAATCATTTTCAGTCACCATGGGTTCAGGGAAGATAAACAATTGACAAAATAAAAGTGACTCATCAAAGCTCCATTAGGTTTTTCTCAGGACATTATCCCTGGAATTTGTGCATCCTAATCGTATTTTGATGTGGTTGTTCATTACTTTTAGTGATACGTTCTGGAACAGGGCTGGCAATCATATCTCAATTTTTTTTTTTTTTGCCTTTTGATGCCCTTGGACAGTTGTCACACAAATGGAGCAATGAAACCTGAGAAATATTTACTGGAGTAAGTGTCACCCAGACTTTTGTATATCTCAATATTTATATATTTGCTCTGAAATTTGTTATTAAGGCGAGACAAAAACATGGTGACAGTATTTTCTGATTTATGGACTGATATAAAGAGATTTCCAAAATCCCCTCTGTAAAAACCTTTAACTCAAATATATAAACAATGTAAAAAATGATATATAAGAATTTTGAACCTGGCTTTATCCAGTGTTTAGATTTCTGTACTGGAAAGATATGCCAATTATTGCATATTTAATTAGATTTTTTTTTTTTTTTTTTTACATAGCATTTAAAAAACTTTGATTAATCAACAGGGGAAGTATGGCGATATATATTTGTTGAAATTTGTATCCTATTTTACCCTGGTGTCTTAAAATTTTTTTCATCATTGAAATTATAATACAGCTAATTAGATTCATGTTTAATGCAAGTAAATCACAATTAAAATCTTAAAAATAAGATTCATAATTAAATACAAAATTAACAAGGCATGTCAAGGGAAAAATATATTATTTTTAATTGATATAAAACAATACAACGGTATATAATAATAAACATTAATATTTTACTCAATGTTTTTTAGTCATATAATTTAATGATCAAATTAGGGACTTTCATGAATATTTTTGAATAATAAAGAGTTTGAATCGATTCATTGAAACGGGTGTGTATGGACGTACCACAATACTTTAGTCACTCAAAGAATAAACAGCTTGTGTCGTCAAATGTAATCTTGAATCATTTTCTACGTTTATCTTTACAAACTTGTTCATGGCCATGTTCCTCCCTGAGTTCTGGTAAGTGGTAACTGAGGAAGACAGATATTAACTACAGCATTACGGAGGATCCGCTCTCCATTAAAGCCCTCTCTCCAGCTCAGACTCCTGATGGAAAATCAAGCATGAGCCCGGAGAAATGCAGTTGCCGTGTTATCAGCTACAGGCAGCTTCTGTTCTGTGGCTTTAGCTGAATGAGTGTTGGCTTTAACACATAGATCGACAGGGACAGATCTCATTTCAGTCTCTAGATCTGCTTGACCCTCACATTCTCTAAATCAAGGGTTTCACTAGTCCAGAAAAGATTGTTTTAAAGACAACACAAGATGTCTTTACATAAAGATTCATGAACCATTCTATATCAGATTCTTATGATAGGTGGATGACATTCGGCCTATAAAGCATATTTTTGTAGAATTGGATTAAGTGCCAAGACTTTAAGCATATATTTTTTCCTATCTTGTAAAGATGTTACTTTTAAAAGAACAATTTATGATTACATTAACTTTTTAATCAGAAATATTATTTAATTTCCAATTCACCAGTGAAAGTCATTTTTAAGGGTCAGATCATGATGAAAAAAAAATGCACATGTTCACATTTTAAGTGTAGATGCTTAGGGAGCATATGTCTAAAACGAATGAAACACTTCTAGGTAATGTTTGCATGTGACTGCTGTTAATGTTGACATGACTCATGTGTGGAAAGGCTGGAAGGCTGAAATGCTTATGATGCATAGCAACAAGTTAGTATCTTGAGTCAAAATCTTTCAGCAACGTCCTCCTATAGCCACGTTTTCCTTTATATATTTGCATTGATGCTTTGAAATGGCATTGGATGAGGAATGCATTGCAAACTTTGAATATTGTTGTTTCTCATGCCAGACGTAACAAGTGCCTGAACGGTCATGGGTGCAAACTGTAATATATATATATGATGGGGGAGGAGTGGTTAAATCAGTCATAGCAAGTAAGCTAGTAGAATTAAATATATTGTATGGCTTATGGCTGAGAAATGGCAACCTTGTCTCTTGATCTGTCTCTCTCCCTCTGTGCTTAACATAATTTGACTAAAACCCCTCTAATCCTTCCAGATAATCTGTCAAATGGTCCTCTCCCTCTTCTCTCCTTCTCCGGTCTGCATCCACCTTTTCCTCACTGTCCGCTTGCCCGCTTCTTTAAAGAACCTTTCATCAAGCCATACGGGCTCGGCAGACATTAGTCGGCGCAAAGCCTAGCCCAATGACATCAACGTACTGCATCATTAAGAAACTAGCACAACAGTAAATTAATCTTCTCATCCTTTTTTTTTTTATACAAACAAATGCTTTTACAGTGGTAGCTCGTGCCATCTGTATTTTCCCAGGATTTTTATGTGCTGCAGCAAACGCTGCCACTAAAGCTAGGGTTGTTTTGCTGCAGGAGACAAGTGTTTCCTGTGTTTTAGGACATGTCTAAGCAATATTACTAGAGCAAATGTGCTGTTGTGCTGAATATGATTATCTTCAGACATTATTATGTATCATGTGTGATATTTATTTTATTCAACAGTTCAATAAAAAAAAGAGTAACCTTAGACCCAGTATTGCCAGTGACTTTGTCTATTTTCACTCCGCCAACGGAAATAGTTTAAACCAAAGGCACAGTTTTTTAATAGTTCAGCGTCTCTGAGTGACATTCCTGAATCAGTGTTTTCTGAACAAATCGGTGGAGTGAATATTTAAATATTTGTGTCCGAAATGACACACCATACACTATATACTATGCACTATGCACTCGACCATGTAGTGTATGAATATAATGTTATTTTGTTATCCAGCACCCCCCCACATAAGGAAAGCTGCAACAGTTGAGTCCATCAAGTGTCCAACATTCCACCACCCCTTTTTTCGGTTAATTAAGTTCATCATCCGGGGGTTTGAAGTGCACTTTTCTTTTGTGAAATTTTCAGTACACACTTCTCACACTATTTATACTACAAAACGGCATAGAATAGTGCATAAGTACTCGAACTGTGACGCACTAATGACTAATTTCATCCCTGCATGAATCTAAGTGAATGATTCAGTGACTCACTTCATCAAAAATCACGTTCTCTCTGAGAAGGCAATTCTTTTGAATAAGTACTTGCTTTGCGACGTTAAAAAAAAGTATGTGCTGTATTGTATGAATGTAATCTGGATATACCACATTTGGCATGTTTTCATTGTTATGGGACCTTGCAATGTGTGCAATGCAGACTTCAGTATTGTGACTACTCACACTTCGCTGTGAGTAGTAAGTCATCCGGGCACTTTTTGCCTCCTACTTTCGAAGAATGTGAATTCTGCCAAACCGGTAATACTCATCCTGTTTTTCACCTACTTTATAGTAGGGAAGTCTCCATATTCAGATGGAGCCAGTTTTAGATGACCCAACCCCAGACCTGTCCACGATTTTAACCGAGGGGTAACACTCATCCTCCTGTTGTATAACATCATCAAAAATGAATTTTATCAGTCCAGTAAAATCCATTTAGCAGATCAGAGAAATTCATGAAATTCATGTAAAGGACGCAAAGTGAGTTCTGCTGTTGCTCACTGTCGTGTTCTGTATCTTCCATTTTGCAGATTCCTCAGATCAGTTATGCTTCAACAGCACCTGAGCTTAGTGACAACAATCGCTACGAATTTTTCTCCCGAGTCGTGCCGCCAGATTCCTTTCAGGCCCAGGCGATGGTGGACATTGTCAAAGCCATGGGATGGAATTACGTTTCTACTCTGGCATCAGAGGGGAACTATGGAGAGAGTGGTGTAGATGCTTTCATCCAGATATCCAGGGAAGCAGGTACAGAAAAGTAATGAAAAGTGGCTTCAGTGCTTTTAAAAGATTGTATTTAAATCTACATATATAAATCAATATATGTGCTTTGGTTGTAAGCTAATTTAACCTGATTTACCATACCCTGATTTTCCATTACTGACGAGGAATTTATCAGTCTATCCAACGATTTAACACACCTGGTGTTGTATTTGATGAGGAAAGAGGATAATGATCAGGGGATAAAGGTTTCATGTGATTTCCTGTGGGTAAACAAGTTATTATTAGTCACCTAGACTTAATGACAGACATGCTACAGATTGACCGGGATGTTATATTCAATCTAAAGACAACTGCAACCATCATTCTCTTATGAACGTATCAGAGTACTTCAAAACTATTCGTCATTTTAATTTATTTTATTCAGGGGGTCTTTGCATCGCACAGGCCATTAAAATTCCTCGGGAGCCAAGACCAGGAGAGTTTGACAAGATCATCAAAAGGCTAATGGAGACATCCAATGCCAGAGGGGTTATTATCTTCGCTAATGAAGATGACATCAAGTGAGTTGTCTTTTAGTAGTGATTCTGAATGACTTGGAAGCAGGAGATATAGCCTTGGAAAAGGTTTGAAAATGGTTTGAGAATAGATCAATCACACTACAACTGGAACATCAGGAGTCTTAGAAGGAATTATGGCAAATTAATATATTACAGAGTGAAGTTTAATCTAGTTTAATTTGCATTTTGTAATATAAGCCTAAATGAACCTGATACTGACACACACACACACACACAAATCAGCAATAATCAACAAATCATAATGGATCTGATTTTCCTTATCTTTAATGAACCTGCCTTTTCTGAGATTTTTGAATTCATTTATTATAGGCGTGTCCTGGAAGCAGCAAAGAGAGCCAATCTTACAGGTCACTTTTTGTTTGTGGGATCTGATAGCTGGGGAGCAAAAATCTCACCCATCCTGGACCAGGAGGACGTGGCTGAGGGTGCAGTTACCATCCTCCCCAAGCGGGCGTCCATTGAGGGTATGAACTTGTAGCAGTGTAAGATCAACAAAGGTTTCTTAATTTTAAAACAATCCACCCCAAAAATTTAATTTTTCCAATTCAGACTCTGCATTTATGCCCATGTATTAAGTACTTAAGTCAAATCGAGTCACACACAGTATATTTATGTAGCGGTCTATACAATACAGATTGTGTTGATTCAATTCTGTTCAATAACTGTGCAAATGTTGCAGTTAATCAATTATGAAGTTGTATTCAGCTACAAGCAGCTCTACAGAAGGCTATAATGTTATTACTCAGCTCAAGAAAGTTCAGTGTTGATTCAGTTCAGTTCAATAACAGTGTCAATATTATTAAGTTAGTGTCATTATCCAGCTCAATTCGGTTCAAATTTTGTTCATATCCGAAAGTTTCAGTGCAGTTAAATCAATAATATTAAATTTGTCTTTTAAACCCCAACTGAGCAACCCGAACGTGACAGAGGCAAGAAAAACTCTATCAGGTGACAATGGTAGAGGGTAAAAAAAAAAACAGCATATGGTTTCGCAATGATGAGATATTTTCATTCTGGGGTGAACTATCCCTTTAACCTGTTTCTCAGGGTTTGACCAGTACTTCGCCACAAGATCTCTGGAAAACAACAGGAGGAACATCTGGTTCGCTGAGTTCTGGGAGGATGACTTCAAATGCAAACTGACACGGCCTGGAATCAGAGGCGAAAGCGGGCTGAGGAAATGCACAGGCGAGGAAATCATTTCCAACAAATTACTCCCATAAATGCTGTAGTACTTGAATTATCATACATTCTTATGCTTTTAAGATGTGCAAAGCACATCTAAATGGATTATTCCTCCAGCAAAGCTTTTCAATTCCTGTCATGTTGCTTTCGGTTTTTCAGGAGAAGAACGAATCAGCCAGGATTCGGCATACGAGCAGGAAGGGAAAGTGCAGTTTGTGATCGACGCTGTGTATGCCATGGCCCACGCTCTCCATAGCATGCACATAGACCTTTGTCCGGGTTCAATGGGCGTTTGTGACAAAATGGACCCGGTGGATGGAAGAATGCTGCTGAGCTACATCCGTGCTGTCAATTTTAATGGTAAGCCTTCCCAAGGACACAGCTAAAGCATGTGAGCCATTCCAAACATTGTGAACGAGACCTTGAGACAGTCAGAATTTCCGTAATGGCTTTGTATTAATACAAGACTAATGAACTTCACAGCAGTTTGAATGTAAGTTATTATTTCCGAGGAATGCTTTGTTTGAATCTGCCAGGAAGGTTGCACGTAATAAACGTGCACTTCTCGAATCGAGGATATTGCCATTACTGTGAGACTGACAGGTGATAATAGGTGAGGAGTAGTTTCTGCAAGAGGGGAAAGGCCAGAACAGAAGCTGCTGTTTCCAAGGAGGAGGGTTGTGAGTCCCATGGGTTAGTCAGAGTGCGGCGAGAGAGGTCAGCACTCAATCCCAGCCTGAAGAGATCCACTAATGCACAATGCAGCGGCGCACGTACCTCGTCTCTCTCTCCTTGTCTATGATTCTCCCTGGGGCAGCCTCTCTCCAAACACAAGGCGCATTTCCTTTTTCAGCGCTATCTTTCGGTGAAAATCCCTTTTCTTTTCGTCACTCGCTCTTAAGACATTTCTATGAAAAGCACAGCTATTCAGTTTACGCACAGTGGACGTCCTCACGCTCTTGTATGGAAATCTTTTCGGCTTTGAGTGCCTAAGGGGAACAAAACACTGTGTGCAGACCTTGATTTGCGATTCGTAAACTCTGGAACATTAAATTGAGTTTGCCTTGTTGTACCACATCTTTCCTCATAGAATTACATTTTGTTGGTAGCACTTTACAGAAAGGTTCATTAATTAGTTAAATGCATTACTTAACATGAACTAACAATCAAAAATATTTCTAAAGCATTTATTAATCTTAGATAATGTTAATTTCAACATTTACATTATTAAAATCAAAGGTTGTATCTGTTTATATTATTTAATGGATTTGAGCTAACATGAACTAACAATGTTCTAATAACAACTAACATTAACAAAGATTAATAAATACTGTAACAAATGTATTACCATTAGTAATATGTTAGTTAATGCATTAATTCATGTTAAAGGAGAACTCCGGCGCAAAATGAACCTTTGGTCTAATTACACATTGGTACCTAGTCAACCGTTATCTGAGATTTGTTTTCATGATTATCGAATGTAAATAGTTTTATCTCATTTAAACAGTTTAGCCTATAAAGCTAGTATAACGCTAGTATATTGGGCATAGATCAATGACAAATAAAAATCGCTTGTTAATACCACTAACAAGGCTCAAAATAGCCCCACACTAACACGGTAGCATAATGAGGGTCCCTACTTTCAAACCGAAGCATTGAGAACTTTGTAAGTGTCCAGACAGTTTAATAAGAAGATATTTTATACATACAGTCAACTTCGCGTATACAGGCAGGAGCCATCTTTGAAATACAGTCTCTACCAGTCGATCTACGAACGCCGATCCAAGCCTGCTGTTCGCGCTCACCTTATCACAACTTATAGCTCGTTCACATCTCACCAGCGCACTTGGATCGGCGTTCGTAGATTGACTGGTAGAGACTGTATTTCAAAGATGGCTCCTGTCTGTATACGCGAAGTTGACTGTATTAAATATCTTCTTATTAAACTGTCTGGACACTGACAAAGTTCTCAATGCTTCGGTTTGAAGGTAGGGACCCTCATTATGCTACCGTGCTAGTGTGGGGCTATTTTGAGCCTTGTTAGTGGTATTAACAAGCGATTTTTATTTGTCATTGATCTATGCCCAATATACTAGCGTTAAACTAGCTTTATAGGCTAAACTGTTTTTAGAGATAAAACTATTTACATTCGATAATCATGAAAACAAATCTCAGATAACGGTTGACTAGGTAACAATGTGTAATTAGACCAAAGGTTCATTTTGCGCCGGAGTTCTCCTTTAAGTAATGGGACCTTATTGTAAAGTGTTACCATTTTGTCAGTTACAACTCTGTATTTTTTTAAGCAAGCTTTGATCTGGAAAAGTCACCTTCAAAGTTATGCTTGACAATTTTACTTTAAATCAAAAGGTGAAAAAGAACAATGGTTTGCAGAAGCGTGCATGGTCACGCATTAGTACAATTTTATGCCATTCCAGTGGGCCGTTTCTTTTAAATAACTCTGTTGTTTCAAATGATTGCATTTGAAATAATAACTAGTGATGTTGAATATCAAAACCCTGTGTGTTTACTCTGAAGGCAGTGCCGGTACAGGTGTGATGTTTAATGAAAACGGTGACGCCCCAGGACGATACGATATCTTTCAATACCAGCTTTCCAATACCACCAGCCCGGGATATAAATTCATCGGCCAGTGGACCAACCACTTGCGACTCAGTGTAAGCATATTAAGCCCCTTTGTAGTTTGGGACATTTCTGAATGCGTGTTCTTGAAATATCCCCCTCTCTTTCTGTAAGGCTGAGGAAATGCAGTGGTCTGGAGGGGATAAAGTGGTTCCAGACTCGGTTTGCAGCTTCCCCTGTGAGTCTGGGGAGAGGAAGAGGATGGTGAAGGGCGTGCCGTGCTGCTGGCACTGTGAACTATGCGACGGCTATCAGTACCTATTGGACGAGTTTAGCTGTGACATGTGTCCCTTTGACATGAGGCCGACCCCTAACCGCACGAGCTGCAGACCCACTCCCATCATCAAGCTGGAGTGGAGCTCTCCGTGGGCCATTATCCCGGTATTTCTGGCAGTGCTGGGCATTCTTGCTACATCAGGAGTCATCATCACCTTCATCCGCTTCAACGACACCCCCATAGTCCGTGCTTCGGGCCGAGAGCTCAGCTATGTTCTCCTGACGGGCATCTTCCTCATCTACCTCATCACCTTCCTCATGATCGCCGAGCCAGGCTCCGTGGTGTGCGCGTTCCGCAGGCTGTTATTGGGGCTGGGCATGTGCATCAGTTATTCTGCCATGCTCACAAAAACTAATCGAATCTACAGGATCTTTGAGCAGGGAAAGAAATCAGTCACGCCACCAAAATTTATCAGCCCCACATCCCAGCTGATCATCACATTTATTTTGATCTCAGTACAGGTGCGTGTATGTCTGTAATACAATTTACATTCATTTAGCAGACGCATTTATCCAAAACGATCTACCAGATCCTTGAGCAACATACATATTAAAGCTGCAAAAAATTGTACTCATCTAGAAAGTTTTTCACATAACTTTCTAGTATTATCATTACAGTCCCATTTATGTTGAAAACTGTATGTTTTGTGTGTTCAAAAAAGAAAAATTTAGTAGAATTAATAAATAAATAAATAAAACATTTCCAACAAACAAAATCTGAACAATATTCTGCCAATTCCACTAAATTGTTCTTTTTTTGAACACACAAAATATACCGTAATTCAATATATATGGGAATGTAATATATATATCAAACCTTTTGTCAATGTTAATTTCAATTATTTGTATCATTTGTATCTAAATGAACTCTTGATCAGAGTAACTGCTTTGTTTTGTGTTTATAGTGTTGTCACTGTGCTTTATGTCTCCAAAAGATATTTTGGTCTAAGGACTTTTCGTCCATTAAATAATTAAAGAAGCAAGCTTTTGAGTGTAGCGGAGGGGCTGCAATTTCACTGAAAGCTCTTCTCTTTTTGGTGTCCTCCATTAATGGTTGTTTATTATTTGAGAAAACATTTAGAAACATGGTCTCTTGGATTTTCATTGAACGGATTTAATGGTATTAATGATATCATGGACCTTTACAGAAGTTGATTTTGTGTGAACGTTGATTCATGGCTCTTTTCTTCTCACAGCTCCTGGGTGTTTTCATTTGGTTTGGAGTGATTCCCCCTCACACGAATGTCGACTTTGATGAGCTACGTCCCCCCAACCCGGAGTATGCTCGTGGAATCCTGAAATGTGATATGTCAGATCTGTCTCTGATTGGCTGTCTGAGCTACAGTATGGGGCTGATGGTCACATGTACAGTCTATGCCATTAAGAGCAGAGGCGTTCCTGAGACCTTCAATGAGGCCAAACCCATCGGCTTTACCATGTACACCACCTGTATCATCTGGTTGGCCTTTGTTCCCATTTTTTTCGGCACATCACAATCCACAGAAAAGGTAAACTGTCAATAAGATATTTTGGACAGATTTATCTGATATAAATAGAACAGGCAATATAGAACATTTCTATATAGAAAAAATATTATTACATTTACATTTGCATTTATTCATATAGCAGACGCTTTTATCCAAAGCGACTTACAAATGAGAACAACAGAAGCAGTTAAACTAACAATAAGACAACAATATGCAAGTGCTATGACCCTTCTTAGTTTAATCTAATGCAGTACGTGTATTTTTTTTTTTTTAAGATAATAGATATAGAATAGAAGATAAATTGTTAGTATTAATGGATCAAGTGTTGCCGAAAAAATAGATGTAGGTTTTGTTTTTGTTGCAACAATGCATTAATTCAATTTGTTCATATTTGCCCTGACTATGTAAATAAGCACATTCAATTTAAAATGATTATTAATTTTGTCACAAATACATATGTCACTTATATTGCAATCATTTCACGATTGTTTCACTATTAACAGTCTGTGTTTGGGTCTGTTGGCATATTTGATATAATCATCTATATAAAATCCTAAGTCTTGCTTCCATGATATTACTGTTGAAAATTCGCTGGTGTCTGACATTAACATGTTATACAGAAATATGATCTTCACCCTGTAAGTGTCTAGACATACATTTCTCTGGATAAGATGGCTCTGGTTCAGTTAATGATGCTGCAACATTTACTTGTGAATGCTTCAACCATAATCAGATATTAGAAACCTAAAAAACTGTAGCTATATCTGGTTAACATAATTGCTATTTAATTGGATGATGTTTTGTGTTGGACTAAAAGCTGTTAAGATGCTAGCAACACTTAATGCATTTAGTCATTCAATTTTTCACATCTATTCATCCTGTGGGGGATGGTTTTGCTTACAAAGCACGGGGATTTAAAAATGGAAAGTATACTCTGACTAATAGAGAGGTCTTTTAGTGGCCGGTCAACCGCAAAGCTTTTGACCCTCAGGTGGTCTTCAAGTCTTTTCATTTCTTGAAAATGCATGGAAAAATAAAAGACTCAGAGCGGGCTGCAGTGTTTATGTATATATATTTTTTAGATGTTTTTGAGTGCTGTTATCTCACATTTTATTATACCGAGTTTAAATTTTAAAGTGTATTTTTTTTAGTTTTATAATGTTAATAAAAAACAGTTTTAATATTTTCTTGTGTGACAGCGCTTTAGACTTTTTAGAGTGGCAGTCATTATATGGGTGCAGTCCACATAATTTCATGAAATGTAAGACCTCTTTAGGGGCTATTATGATATTTATATTATTAATGAACACAACTGTGTTTGTGCATCTTCGCCAGTTGTCATATATGAATGACTCTCATGCCAATAAACATGCATGAGATCAGGGTTTATTCATTTGGCTCATATTAAAGACGCAGAAAATAGGGAGTCACATCTCAGACCTTAAATCAACCTTACTTGAATACATGATTAATGTATGCAAATTATATGTCGCACTAAGACGGGATACTATAAACTGACTGAATTGTTTGCACGTGGCTGATGTCAGCCCTTTGGGTCGTTACACTGATTACACTGATTTCCAGGGAATGAATTGTGACCATCAACAGAGAGTATGTATATAAGTGTAATGTGGAGTGCTAAAGCCCTGACAGCTGATCTACCACTTGTGATAGGTCGCAGCTGAGGCCAGGCTAAAATATTACTCTTAATCTTTTTTCCGCCCTGAACCAGATGTTCATTCAGACCACCACGCTGACTGTGTCCATGAGCTTGAGTGCCACGGTGTCCCTGGGCATGCTGTACATCCCCAAAGTCTATGTCATCATCTTCCACCCAGAGCAGAACGTTCAGAAGCGCAAGCGTAGCTTCAAAGCCGTGGCCCAGGCAGCCACTGTTTCCACTCATCTCTCGCAGAAATCCAACGACAAGCAGAACGGAGAGACCAAAATTGAACCTGATAGATCCCAATAAAGACCAGAAGGTAAAAAAAATATTTTGTACCTGTATATCTTACCTGTATACTTATTTATTATATATTTATATATATTCACACACACACACACACACACACACACACACACACACACACACACACACACACACACACACACACACACACACACACACACACACACACACACACACATCAACCTTCAGTGTATATATATATATACTATTCAACCCCCTGAATAGAATCCCTCACAACAGCACAAATCTGCAAAACAGATGTTGTCCCAAGCACACCTGATGCAACTAATCAAGGGCTTCATTAGTTGGACCAGGTGTGCTTGAGCTAGAACACATGAAATATCTGAAATGACTAGATTTTTTGAGTGTCACGTTTGATTGCATGTTAGAAATATGGCTAAGTCAAAAGAATCGTCCAAAAAGATAAGAGAAAAAATCATCACCCTTCACAAACAAGGAACAGTATACAAAAAATAGCAAAGGCACAATGTTTCTAGAACACCGTTGGAAGCATAGTTTGCAAGTTCAAAGTTAAAGGAACAGTGGTTACACTACAGAAAAAGGAAGCTATCAACGGCTGCAACCAAATTTCTGAGAAGGCAGGTTCAGAAAAACCCTCAAGTAACTGCAAAAGACCTGCAGAAAAACTTGGTGGCAACAGGCACTGAGGTATCAGCTTGCACAGTAAGGCACGTACTAAACACATGCCAGAACTTGTACATCACTACTGATCCAAAAGCACAAAAAAGTTGGCTCCAATTTGCTCAAAAATCATATAAATAATTCACAGAAGTTTGGGGATTCTGTTCTGTGGAGCGATGAAACAAAACTGGAACTTTTCAGCCCAATGGATCAGTGGTATGTGTGGAGGAAGAAGAACGAAGTATATGCTGAAAAGAACACTCTGCCAACAGTTAAGCATGGTGGTGCTCGTTGATGATCTGGGGCTGCTTTGAATCTTCTAGCACTGGAAACCTGCAGGGTGTGGAAAGCAGGATGGATTCATTAAAGTATCAGGAAATCCTAGGAGAAAACGTTGTGCCGTCAATGAGGAAGCTGAAGTTTTGGTGTCATTGGACCTTCTAACTGGACTAAGATCCCAAGCATACCTCAAATTCCAGCAAGGTTAGTTTGTAGAAGAAGTCCTGGAAGATTCTACAGTGGCCATTGCAGTCACCTGACTTGAACCCCATAGAAAATTTCTGGTGGGATTTGAAGAAGGCGGTTGCAGCACGCAAACCCAAGAATATTACTGAACTGAAGGCCATTGCTCATGCTCATGAGGAATGGGCTAAGATTCATCAGAAGCGCTGCCAGAAGCTGGTGTCTGGTTATACCACTCGTTTTCAGCAGGTCACGACAGCAAAATGGTGTTCTACTAAGTACTATAGATGCTTACCATGAAGGGGTTGAATAATTTTGAGACTGCAGAAGTCATTAAAAAATGCATTGTAAGTTGAATTTGGGGAAACCACTTGGAACATTTCTTGTGTTGAGCTATTCCAATTCCTTTTTTTTTATTTGTTCATTGCAAACAGCTGAAAGTCTGTAAATTTTGCCAATAAACCTGATTTACAATGGGGGTTGAATATTTTCGATTACAACTGTATATATTTATGTGAGTATATACAGTAGTGGCCAAAAGTGATGTATGGAAGGGATAGTTGTTTTTATGCCCTACAAGTTGGCCTTCCAAAATATATATATATATATATATATATATATATATATATATATATATATATATATATATATATATATATATATATATATTAAATATGAGGGAAGAAAAAAACACTAAACTTAAAAAAGGTAAACTGCAGCAACAGGTTTTATTTTACTATGGGGAGAAAAAGGCATATAAAATCCAAAAGCTCACAGGAAAAAACAAATTGACTACAACATAATCAGTTATTAATATTTCCTTGGTTTTTGCATGTGTTCATAATTTCTTTGTATGACAACCTGGCCAAAAATTACGTCTGCACAGTTTGGCATGTTTCATTGCATTATTATAACTAAAACAATTGACTCGCCATATGCTTAAAAACTACGGCATATGCTTAAAAAATCTTGAACTAATTTTTTTTATAATAATTAGTCTGGACATCATTAATTTGTTGTTTTTACAGACAAATTGCATTATATAACATATATGCTATCTATCTTCAGGTGACCAAGGCCTGTGTACATCCTAATGAAGTAGTCTGAGGAGATAGTCAAGGCAAACTGCTGTTTGCTAAATCATTCATTTCGCAACCTCAAATGGACAAGGATCACCAGAGGATGTGCGGATTTGTAATATCTGCAACAAGAGAAGAGTCTGGCTGAGAATAACACTGAAATAATGAATTAATTGTACAATATGTACAGAAATTAGAGGTTCAATGGATTCTTTTTGATGTGGAACTCTCACATCAGCTTTGAGACTGGAACGTATTGTCCCCTTGAATATTTCCCTTGTCACCAGAGCATCACCAACCGAGTTGAAAATATAGATTTGTGAATTCATGATGAAGAAGAACAAAGTCACTGGAGAAAAACAGTAGAACATTTCTTTTACCAGCATTTCTTGAAAGACTAAGTGTTTGCATCTGATGTATCCAAACGGAATCGGACATAAACTTGAGTACAATAATAAGTCACATTCAGTTTCAGTGTCATCTCCATCCTTATCTCCTTAAGTACATATCATAAATGATGACAGAGCTACAGAGACAATGTTGGGATCAAATATGTTTCAACAGTCCAGCCAGTAGAACGCAGACACATGGAGGTTTCACTCTCTTTGAACTCTTTGCTTTCGAAAATGTGCCATAACTTATGTTTCCGAATAAATGTTTAAAGTGTCTTGTGTGCAATCCTTATAATAGGCAATCCTGTATTCTAAATCATATTTATTAAAAATGATAGATTACCAAGAGAAAACAATGACAATCTGTAATGACAACAAAGTTTTGATTAGAGATGTTTAGTTTTATCATGTTTCCTTGAGCTCCCCAAGAAATACTGATTTTTAAACAAAATGTATGCTAATGATCAGTATTTAATGATTGTTTAAAATGAAAATAGTAACAAGTCGACTTTAGAGACTGACGTTCAAATCCTATTATTGTCACATGCAACTAGCATTCAGAGTAGTCACTTATATATTTTGCATTATAGCAAATGGGGAAAAAGACTGTGCATTAAGTACATTGTTTAATTAGTGGTATTTGCAGTATTATTTCAAGAAGCATTTAAAATTAAATGATGATGACCATGCAGTTACTGTGAACTCAGGTTCCAAGTTGGCTTACTTAGCCTTGATGAATTTTGTGGGTGTCTTGTTTTCATTTAAGAGGTAAAAGAAAAAAACACTGGAATAAAAATGTATTGATTGAATGCATGTTGGGGAAAAAATGATTTAATAAAATCCTGAAAAATTAATATTGAAGAAATCATATCTTACTGTATAGAAATCAGTATGATTGTGAGTGTCTTTTGTTCTCATATTTGTTGTAAGACAAAAACACATCCAGTGGTCCATTTACCCCGGGGCTTTTCATCCGTTGTTTCATCTAAAATCATGTAAATGTCTCATTTACTTAATATCTGTGAGGGGTGAAGTCTTAGAAAATCTGTTTAGATTCATAAAGTTACAAAAGAATACTGAAGTAAGAATAATTGTCGATAAACTGTTGAATAATTGAAAATGTATGCACACCCGAGGTGTAACCTATTTGGGTCATGGCCACATTATCACCTCAGGGTGCAGTAACTTTCAATAATTCATCTGGAGTCAATTACTGAACATTATAACAACTCACACAAACTATTAAGCTATTTGAAAGCGTCACTTTAGAATGGTGGTTTGTTTCTAAGCAATTATTGGTCATACAAAAAGAGAGAGAGAGCATACTTTCTATACGTTTAATAGAAATTGTGTATCATTTCTATGGAATTTAGTATGGTTTTCTAGTTCTTTTTCCATAGTAGCCTATGCTACAGATTATGGCAGTTTAAATAATGTGGCAAAGTGATAATGTGGTCAAAAAACCTGAAACTAGTTCATAGTTATGCAGTTATAGATCATCTGTTCAGCAATGTTGGAGAATGTCAAACATGAGGCACACTATTGCCACTTTAAAAATGGGTCAAATTTAGGCGTAACCTATATGTTTACCGTTGAAACATATACTATTTTAAATAGTTACGTTTAATAACATTTTTCAATACTTAAAAAAATATATATGTTGAGTATACACTGTCACAAAAAAATGGTTCTAATGTGTGTTATTTAATAATATTTTCTTTACTAAAAATGGGTCAAAAATCACCGTAAGTCTATCGAGGGGTTGATGCGGTAGGGGGCAGTGCAAAGCAATATGAGCCCATTTTGTCAACAAGAAGCAGAGCAGGCGTCGGAAGTGACGTGAAATCGCATTGTGGTTTGTTGATGTTTGTGTCAAACTCTCGGTCGGTCGTTGTTACGAAAGAAAAACCTCGAAACTAAAAGATTTGTGACGACCTTATTATTTCACCGACACCTCGTATTATGTCAGGACGGGGGTGATTATACGTGCATCGAACAAACTGTTTATATACAAGTTTGAAAGCTCGTTTATTCTCCGTGTTGTAACACATAATAAACACAAATCACCGCAAGCTGGCCAGCGATGACAATCCTCCCAAAGAAGAAACCGGCCTCTACAGCCGGTGGCGGTGATCATACGGACGAAGCGGACAGACGAAGCGGCTCTGAGTCGCACCCTCATCCCCTCGCAGGACGATCGGGGTCCCGACCCAGGGCCTCTCCGCCTCCGTGGACATACCAGGCCACACCGCACACGTCCAGAGAGGAGCGGCGGATCGAAGCGAGCGCTCGCCCACAACAGGCCTCCCCACAGCCCGGTGCCGCTGGAGCTCCGGTCGTGCAGTGCGAAGGGAGCTCGAACTCGGCTGTGGTCGCAGGTCGTGTCGAGTTACCCTGCGGCGCAGGTGGTGTTGGAAGCTGCTGCTCGGGACCCGGACTCAGCAAGCGGAGACGGCAGGCTGTCTGCTCCAGCGGTTTGACAGGTGGAGGAGGTAGAGTGGGAGGAGGAGGAGGAGGAGGAGGGGGCGGTAGTCCAGTATCGGAACCCGAAGAGGGAGCTGGAGGCAACAACAGTGAGGATGAGTATGAGAATGCGGCCAGACTTCAGCTTGTGGACCCCGCCACGGTCGAGCAGGTTCTGGATATTGACAGTTTTCTTACTAGACTGCTTTCTGTGCCAGTTTGAATGACCCATCAAGCATGCTGAGAGCTAACTATATAATAATTTAGCCCAATAAAATTCAAATGTTTGAAACTGTGCCTTTAAGGGATAGTTTACCCAAATGCATTAATTTTCGCACCCTCCAAACCTGTTTGACTTTTGGTTGTTTTGAGTCTTTTAAAGGGATAGTTCACCCAAAAATGAAAATGCTGTCATCATTTACTCACCCTCACGTTGTTCCAAACCTGTAAGACTTTCGTTTATCATCGGAACACAAATGAAGATCTTTTTGATAAAATCTGAGCTTTCTGTCCCTCCATTGACAACTATGCAACTACCACTTTGACACTTCAAAAAGTTCATAAAGAGATCGTAAAACTAATTCATATGAATTGAGCGGTTTAGCCCAAATGTTCTGAAGAGACTCGATCAATTTATATGATAAACTGAACAGATTGAATTTAGGCTTTTATTCACATATAAACATTGATCAGCAAACATAAACAGAAGCACAACCGAAACTACTTGAGAACAAACCTTATTGGTTCTTGCGGAAGCTCAAACATGCTGCGTAACACGAGAATGAACCTCATTGGTTCTCACACATCAAGCAAACGTTGATTAATGTTTTTATATTTGAATAAACCGCTCAATTCATATGGATTAGTTGTGCAATCTCTTTATGAACTTTTTGAGACATCAAAGTGTCAGTTGCATAGCTGTCATTGGAGCGACAGAAAGCTCAGATTTTATTAAAAAAAAAATCTTCATTTGTGTTCTGAAGATGAACGAAAGTCTTTGGTTTGGAACGACATGAGGGTGAGTTTAAGTAATGACAGAATTTTCGTTTTTGGATGAGCTAGCCCATCTCTTTAATTATTACAGTTTTGGTTCATTGTTTATCTTCTAGTTAAAGCCTATATCTACCACATAAGAAAAAAAAATCATAATTATGACATACAGTCTTAGTTTTTGACATAAGTCAACTTTTTGTCACAATTATGACAAAAATCCGAAATAATGAACTTGTGACACAAAATCAACATAACCCTACATTAATCCCCACAAAAAAACTGAAAGTTAATGGTGACTGATGTTTTCATTTACTCTTCTGTGGAAAACAAATGATTTTAGAAATTCATATGAGCTTGTAATGAGAATGAAATTTCCATTTTCCCATTCCAATTAATCTTAAATTGTCCAAACACTTTTTGGGGACACTGTCTGTTTTGGAAATTGGAAAAATGACATGTATTCATTGTACTATAATACACTTTTTCTTTCTTTCTTCTTTCTTTCTTTCTTTCTTTCTTTCTTTCTTTCTTTCTTTCTTGACCTACAGCAAGAAGAATGGTTCGAGAAAGCCTTAAGAGAAAAGAAAGGCTTTGAAATAAAAAAAATGAAGGAAGATGGAGCATGTCTTTTCAGAGCAGTTGGTAATATATATATATATATATATTTATATATAGCAAAACATTTCATTTTGGTTATTTGCTAAGGCACCATTTGAAATTTTAATTTAAGTTTTTTAAGTGTAAGTTTTTCATGTAATATTTATGTTTTATTTTAGCTTTATTTCAATTACATAAAATGATTTCAATAGTTTTAATTAAGAATAACTATATATTTATGTCTTTTTAAAAAAAAATTTAAGCTGATCAAGTTTATGGGGACCAAGATATGCATGATGTGGTACGGAAGCAGTGTATGGATTACTTGGTGAGTCAGTTAAATTAATATTCAAGAATAAATTAATTGGCTTGGAAATGTGGGTTTGCCTCTTCTTTTAATTATTGACTGATGTGCCGTTTTGATTAATTGTTTATGCTTCAATTGCAGACGAAAAATGCGGATTACTTTTCGAGTTATGTCACAGAGGATTTCACCACATACATTAACAGAAAAAGGAAGAACAACTGCCATGGGAACCACATTGAGATGCAGGCCATGGCGGAAATGTTCAACCGGCCGGTGGAGGTTTACCAGAATGGTGCAGGTTAGTTAATGTCTGTTGAATTCCTGCCATCTAATAGGCTGTCTGTGGTATATTTTAGGATAGAAGAAGAAATACGTTTTTAATATTATTTGACAAATCCCGTCTTACAGAGCCAATTAATACGTTCCACGGCATCCAAGAGAACAACGACGAGCCGATACGTGTCAGTTACCACAAGAACATCCATTATAACTCTGTGGTGAATCCCCACAAGGCCAGTGTTGGGGTGGGGCTGGGCCTCCCCTCTTTTAAACCGGGGGTAGGTGTTGTAAATAAGACACATAAATTCAAGTATTTATTTATATGAGGATTTTACTAATGTGCTAATGTCTGTTATACTGTCTCTTTGTAGTACGCTGACCAGAGTCTCATGAAAAACGCTATTAAGACGTCTGAGGAGTCTTGGATTGAGCAGCAGATGCTGGAGGACAAGAAGAGAGCATCAGATTGGGAGGCCACCAATGAGGCCATCGAGGAACAGGTGGCCCGTGAGTCCTACTTGCAGTGGCTTCAGGACCAAGAGAAGCAAGCGAGACAGGTATGAAACCATCCCACGACCAAATCAAAGCAAGTTCAAGCAAACAACTTTGACAGACTTCCCTCTGCTTTTCCATTCAGCCTCGTAAAGCTAGTGCCACCTGCAGCTCTGCCACAGCCGCCACATCCAGTGGCTTTGAGGAGTGGGGATGCAGGTCCCCTCGCCAGCGCAGCTCCGCCCCCTCTCCAGAGCATCCAGGCCCGGCTCACCCCGAACCCCCCGTCAAACCCCCCTCCCCAGCAGGAGCCTCACTGGTTCTTCCCAAACCCCCATCACCATGTGCC